GGTCTGATTTTCGCTATTGCATAAATAGCGCTCTCTACTGCGAGGATCGTGCATCATACGTATCTATAACCGCAGTTCAAATTAATTATATGAACTTTCATATATTCATTGTATCTGATTTATCATCACAGGTTTATTACGAATCAACTTAACGGCCTGCTCCCAGTTGGCTTGTTAGCTCAAGTGGTAGAGCGCTGCACTACTATCGCAGAGGTCAGTGGTTCGAATCCCGTACAGGCCTGATTTTTTTCGGGTCTGATTTTCGCTATTGCATAAATAGCGCTCTCTACTGTGAGGATCGCACATCATACGTATCTATAACCGCAGTTCAAAATATATGAACTTTCATATATTTATTGTATCTGGTTTATCATCACGGGTTTATTACGAATCAACTTTACGGCCTGCTCCCAGTTGGCTTGTTAGCTCAATTGGTAGAGCGCTGCACTACTATCGCAGAGGTCAGTGGTTCGAATCCCGTACAGGCCTGATTTTTTTCAGGTCTGATTTTTGCTATTGCATAAATTGTTATGAGTTCATCTTTTCTTTTTCTTCTTTGTTCAGTAATTTTACACTGCACCTGATCCATGAGATCACGTGACTTACAACCCACTTATCAAAACATCCCCCTTCTCAAGCTATTTGGCTGTCTTAACGATATTATGCTAATACAAGTGAAAACTGGAACAAGAAGTCAACAACTCAGCTGTAGATTAATCTAAAATACAACTCTTTTACATAACATAATCCTTATGCCAAACCGGAACAGATCTGACCCGAGTAGAGTGACGTGGAACCGAGGTGGCAACAGTAATGGGTAGGTCTGGTTCCAGGTTAGCATCTAATTCTCTCGTTACACTTGGAGAGCTGACACTGGATTGCATGGTTACAGGCTGTGAATCATCAGTGAGATCATTATCTAATACAGTAACAAGTGGTTCCTGAGTAAGATGAATATGACATCTATTTCTACGATACTCTCTACCAGTTTCATCAGTAATCATACATGATCTGGGTGTGTCATGTTTTCCTGTAACTATAGCACGTGATAAATGTTTGCCACCTGGTTTCTTGAACCTTACACTATCCCCTTCCTTAAGTTGAGGTCATTGTTTGGAGCCTTGGCGATCATAGAATTCTTTGTATTTAGCTTGTCATTTTTCTAGTAATTCTGGAACATCATGACAGTTCTGTGGTACTAAGACCAAGGGGTGAACAGAACTCTTGTGCGAATTTGCCTACTGAATAACATTTGGTTAGGTGAATAAGGAAAATTGCTTATCGGTGTGTTGCGGTATTCCATCAGACCTTCATTCAAATTACACTCCTTTCTTAGTAAGCTTTTAACAACGTTGACCGCCTTTTCTGCAAGACCATTTGCCTTACTGTATGTGGGACTGGTTGTTATTATGTTAATGCCATATTGCGTAGGATATTCCTTCATTTCTCTGTTGTTGTAGGGCATGTTGTCTGCAATTAGAGTTTGTGGATTCTCGAGAAAATTTCACTTACAATAGACACCTGATAATATCACTGCTGGCTTTGCCATTGAGCCTAATAGCCTCAATGTACTTTGAAGAATAATCAATGACCACAAGGTAGTTTTGATTTTTGTGTTCTAACAAATCTGATGCAACAATTTGCCAGGGCAATATTGGGACTTGTCGAGTTTGCATGGGTTCTTTCGACTGCTTACTTTGATATTTCAGACATTTTTCACAACAAGACATCATGTCTTCAATATGTTTATTCATGCCAGGCCAAAATACCGTTGTACGTGCATTAGCTTTGGTTTTCTCAATGCCACAGTGACTTAAATGCAATTTCTGAAGTATATCCGCTCTCCATATAAATGGAATGACAACTCACGTGAATTAAGGAATGGGGCAGAATTAAAAAAGGCTAAAAATTAGGAAAAAACTGGAAAAATAATATTTAAGCATTCGTTGATCTTTCTTTTATAAAAAGCTTACTAATCCATGGGGAAAGAAAACGTTTCTGTGGGTCACGTGACGCAACCGTTCTTCAGTGCTTTAATTTGGCGCCATTTGTCTCCGTTCTCTTTGGTTCAAGTTTACACCACTTTTTACGGCATCAGATCACGGTTAAAGCATCCAGGAATGGCCTTCTATGTTCTGTGTTTTTGAGCTTAATCGGGGAATCCGGGAAAATGCCGTTGGCTAGTGTGAAATTGTCATTCTTTTTTCGATGAACGGCAATTTACTCAATTATTGGTGTCTCATGAGGCCATTTGAGATGGAATCTAAAATCCCCGATTGATTGCTAGTTTCTTACAATAGCCTTCTGGTTTTAGAATAGAAAAGCCGTCGTCTGAACGATGGTAAAGTGGTGTATCCAACGTTTTTAATACTTAACTAGCAGCTCGATGTGTCCGCCATATTTGAAAGCGCGGCCTAGACTTCGGAAAACTAGAACCGAGAGAATGTTCTTGCTGCTATAGCAACAAAGCCTTTCCAAGATGGCGGACAAGATTGCAGTGGAAGGGTCATAAAGTTTGTAAGTTGTTTTTCTCGTTTCTTTTGTGTCATTAAGGAGGAACTTTGCTGAATGAAAACATTAAATTTATTTATATGCAAAACTGGTATTTTTCATCTCTATATACTTAAATTTGAGACGTAGTAAAGAAGTAAAGATAACAAGATTTCGACGCTCTGAACGAAGGACAACTTTCGTAATAAAAGAAATCTTAACTGTCTCTCGGAGTTTTGCGCGCACTTCTGACTCCTAAAACCTTAATTGCTAGTAGAATAATAGGATATCATGTTCCTGTTCTAAATTATCTTTCGAGTTTTGGCGCAATGTTCAGATAACTTGAGTTTTTTGTGGAGTAAACATACGCTTCGATCTTGCTGAATTGGTTTCAACGAAACACCTTCAGAATTACCGTTTTACATTGTCTGAAGGAATTTAAAGGCTTTTCAGCTGAAAATTCAACGTCTTTTGCCACACGAAGGATTTGAAGAGTCGCTAACTTGAAGGAAAAACATCGCGGCTTTTATGGCGGGATTTTTTTAACTGTGGCTTCGCGCGTGTAGCTGCAAGGAACAGTGTTAATGATGAGAATGGGAAGGTTATTTACGACAAGGGCACTCGTCTACAGAGGTTCTTGAGTACATTTTCTGAAAACAAAGAAGCTTTTGCTGTTTCTCAGAACACATTCGACAAAAGGCTGCACGTACTTCTTAAAAACTTTAAAAAATGGCGCGGTGAAAGCAAGTCAAAATACTTACATCACTTCAGTTCATTTGCATGGAAATCGCTGTCAGCTCTTATGAAGGGATTACATTCTATCTCGAACTGCCGGGAATGCCAAGTGAATCATCTGCTTTTTCAGACACAATTCCCTCTGAAAACTAATCGACTAAAAGGAGCTGACTCAGNAAGCCTGTTGTCCTTGAGAAGGATTCCATCGGTTACGTGAATATCATTCCTGACATTCCAGAAAGACTTTAGAGAAGGAGGTACATCACGTTTGTGTTGGGGCCAACCCTCCATGGCATACCTATGTAACAATTGCATAGCAGGATGATTGCAATTTAGTTGTCGTAATTCCATTAACTTCATATCCGAAATTGGTAGATCGAGAATTACACTATGAATGAAATGCTCCATGTCATGATGCATATCATCATCAGTAGGAACACTGGATTGATCGATTGCTCTTGAGAGGGTACCTGCAATATAAAGAAACTTCCCTAGAACATATCTCACTTTGAGATTATACCTTTGCAGACGAAGTCTCATTCTTTGCAAGCCAGGGGGTACCTTGAAAAGAGGCTTTTTGAAAATACTTTCTACGGGCTTATGATCAGATAGTACTTCAATTTCTGCCCCATATGTGTACATATTAAATCTCTCACATCCATAAACGATCGCTAAGAGATCTTTCTCAATTTGGGCGTAATTGATTTCAGAACTTGACATAACACGCGAGGCATGTGCCACTGGTTAATTCTGTTGCATCAAACATGCTCCTAGGCCGTTTTTACCGGCATCAACTTGGAGTGTTGTAGGTAAACTTGTGTCATAAAATCGTAGGACTGGGGTGCTACTCAAGACGGATTTGAGTTTAGTAAGAGCTGTATCGTGCTCTGGAAACCAAGTCCATGGCACATCAGACTTAAGTAAGGATCGCAATGGAGCAGTTAATTCAGACATGTTTGGAAAATACTTGGCAAGATAGTTGATCATTCCTAATAACCTTTGCACATCTTGCTTGCATGATGGAGTGGGCATGTTGTAAGGAGCAGAAATTTTGCTGGGTCTGGTGAAAATCCCAGTTCACTCACAACTTCATCCATGTACTTGACTATGTTTACTCGAAATTGGATTTTGTCTTGGTTGAATTTGATATTGCGCTCTCGTGCCCTTCTCAACACCTTGCACAATATCATATCATGTTCTTGTTCATCTCTACCTCCAATGATGATATCATCAAAAATTGGTAATGCACCTGAAATATCGCCAAAATGTTTTTCGACCATTTTCTGGGCCACTTCACTTGCACATGA